TTTTCTCAGAGTAGTTTGAGTTTGGATTTTTTTTAACTTAGAGGAAAGCTTATATTTTGCTGGAAAGGTTTTACTGGAAATTTTATATATTTTTTAACAGAATATCCTGTTGCCAGGTGTTATGCAAAATTAGCCGCTAAGAAAACTCCATTTATTTTTCAGATTCTGAAACCAAACTTGATTCATTTGGGGAAGGTGTTCATGGATGTCTTTAATGGGGAATAATACCTATACATCAATGTACTGATGATTAGAAAAAAAAAAAAAAAATCTTTCAATCACTGTCTGCATTATTTTCATTTATAGTCATAACATCCCAACCATTTTTTTTTTTTTTTTTTTTTTTATTGATATCATTAAGACATTTTATTGATTCTGTGATTTTATTACTCCAATATAAACTGTCGGTGAACCATGATGAAAGAGAAAAACATTTTGGCTCTGGAAAATATTAGATTGATAGCACATTAACAATGTTTTAGAGAAAGTTCCCATGTTTTTGCTTTGTTCTTGGCATTACCATTGTTTGAGTTTCCAGCCTTATTGCACTTGAAATATAATTTTAAAAAAATAAGAATAAAATAAAAACAGTGAGATATATAAAAAGGAAGGAGGAGAAAGTATAAAGAGACAAAAGAAATGGTGAAAAAAAGAGAAATAACTGCAACATCACACACACACACACACACACACACACAAGAAAAAAAATCAATCTAATACCAATAAATAGCACATAAATTATTTTTAACACAATATGAAAATGAGAAAATTAGCAGTCAATTGCTGATACCTCCTGACAAGTGAACCAAATGATTACAAAAAGTTTTGTCTATGACTCTCTTCAGTTAGGATGCTGAATATAATCTCAATTTGCAAAATGATAAATTTTACATTTGCATTGACCATATTTAATCTTATATATATGTAGTGAACATTGAAGTCAACACTCAAAGGTGACAGGCTGTTCCATGCTAGATGCAAGATGTGGCCTGATTATTGCATCTAGCATGAAACAGCCTGTCACCTTGGAACATTGAACTCAACACTCAGAGGTGACAGGCTGTTTCATGCTAGATGCAATTGTCAGGCTGCCTGATAATTGCATCTAGCATGAAACAGCCTGTCACCTCTGAGTGTTTTCAATGTTCACTTTTATATTTACATATGCTTTATCTCTGATATTGAGCACTTTATCCCATAAATATAGCACACCTTAAAACTATATTTCTTTATATATATATATATAAATAAAAATAAATAAAAAGAACTATGTTTACTCAAGAAGATGAATGTTGCTGATATATAAATCAAACCTGGGTATAATTTCTTTTTTAGATTATAAATTTTGTTTGTTCTTTTTATGAGCAGAATAGGCTGTGATAGGGGTAGTTTATTCAACAGTGCAAATTGCTACAAAACTATTTGTGATTTTAAATCTGTAGACTTTATCTTGCATCTCTTTGTTTATCTGATTTTTTTCTTGTTCAATTTTAAGCCGTTATTCATGATTGTGTTTTAAAGTTGAAGCATAATTGTGTTTATAGAATCTTTTTAAAAATCTCTAAAATGTGACTGTTTCTAATTTTTAATATGCATGAAAATAGGTGTTGCAAGTTTTATAATAGGTACTGTGACCAGAAATAATCATTTTCAAAATTCTTTAATGATAGAAATTAAGTTGTAGAAATCAGGGATTTAAAAAAAGTTAGCCCTACTTAAAGGTCTAAGAAAGAAACATCCAAACAATGGTAAATTTTGAATAAAGTACTTTTGTTAGTCTTTAATTAATAATAATTCTAGGCATTTTAATACAAAATCATTTAAAAAGAACAAACATGATTAAATAATCCTATTGAAATTGTGCTTTTTGTTGGTTCATATGACCATTGTGTTGTGCCAATACCTCATAAATAATGGACTCTTCTGTTTTGATTGCATCGAAAAAGGGGGAAAAGATGACTTGATTTCAGTGAAAAAATGAAAGAAGTGTTTAATGGCTATTTCAGTGAAATGGAAAAAAGTCAATTTCAAATCTTTTCATTTGTATCCACTTCTTAAAATAACTACCATTGTTCATATTTATGATTATTGCAATATTTTGTTAGTCATTAAGCTCAAATATTTAAAAATGAGATAGGGGAATTTCTATGGATATTTTATTGTCATAAGCTTACTCAATCATTAACTGAAGAATTGAAATTCCTAAGAATATTAAAATAGGAAAATCATGAAATTTTTATGGGTTAAAACTAGTAAATAATAATTCTAATAATGGCATTTATAAAAACATGGATAAATATAAAGAAAATACTTAAAAATAAAAGTAAATGGTGTAAGAAATATTTGTGAGATTTTAAATAAAGAAAAGACTAATAATTTTTAAGCTCTGTATCTCTGGAAAGGTCTGGAATTAAAATGAGAACTGCAATAGCAGAAGGAAAAATAAGAGATAGTAATGATAATTTCAGTTTCAATGAGAAATTGTATTTTCAACTCTTTTTCTTGGGAGCTCATTTTTTAGACTTAAAATTGTTGCTTTATCAGTTTTTGCCAATCAAGTTTTGCCAATACTAGAAAGGTCTATTTATCAATGAAAATATGTCTAAATTCTAAAAATTATAGCAATTTTAAGATATGAACATTTTTAAATGATTTTTTTTCTTTCCTGAAAATAAATCCTTTGTAATATAAACAAAGATCTTTTTATATGAACATGTATGAAAATTTTACTTACTATTTTTCTTTCTGCCTCTTATTCCATCTTAGGAGCTGCTTTGTCTTGTCTTGTCTGCCACTATATCATTGCATTGTGAAGACATTGCTTGCAACAGGGACATTTGTAATTTGACTGTTAAAATAAGACTAACATCTTTTTTTCTGATTTTTGTCTTAGACTCTAAGATGATGAATTTTTGTTGATATTCCATATTTTTAGCTCTTCTCATTTTTGTAGCATTGTCAATCATTATTAATTTTTACCTCATATTTCTTTCATCTTGATTTTAATGGCTTTTCATTGCAACCATTTAGATTGTCAGTCTCCAGTAGTGAGTAAACAGTGCATATCCAGAATAAAGAATAAGCCTCAGGCAAGACAATAACAAATAGGTTATTGAATGACTGGGGAAGAGAGAATGAGTTTATAGGTTAGATTTGATTTGATCTTTTGCCAACTGTAAAATTTCATTCAGTAGAATAAGCACAATTTGACAAAATTCCTGAAGTCAAAGAGATGTGAGTTCAAATCTCAATTGGAGCTTATTCTTTATTTCTGATCTGCATTGTTTAATCATTGTCATAGACTGATGATCAAAGTAGTTATGTCAATGGAAAAAAAATGTGACTAAAGAAATATGAGAAGAAAGAAAATAATAGTATCCTCATTTTTTATTTTTTAAGGTCATTCTTCAACCTTCTTCAGGTGAATGTTTGTAGTTTTTACATAGTATTTTCAAGAAATGAATGAATACCTTTAATATTCATCTAACTTACTGTAACTTAAGTATAATTTAACTGAAAAGCCAACCACCTCTTCAAGAACATAAAAATTCATCTTAAAATTATTGAATATTTTCTTCTTTTCTATGGCATGTGCTAAAACTTTGTAAAGAAACTTGTCTATTGCATTGAACTTACTCTAAAATTTTTTTGTATGTCTTGCTAATTAATTGGTGATAGTATCAAATGTGTGTCTGTATGGAAAGTAAGGTTGTAACTGAGCTGCTTAGGTGGACATCATCTGTAATGGATTTGCAATTTGTTGTTGTTATTTTATTGTTGCTTGTTTTTTTTTCTGGATATGTTCTTGCATTACAAAATACAGAAAATAATACAGCATTTCTTTGCCTTGTTCATAGAAGACAATAAGCTGAGATTAGTATTGAAATTAAAAAATCCAATATAAGTTTTGTTTTTGCTTGCATATTTGTAAAATGGTGACAAAAGGAACTTTTCTGCCTGTACATTTAAATGTTGATCTATAGACATATTAAAGTATTAAAAATTAAAGACATTTACAAAAGTATTTTCACTTCATTTCTAAGATTGATGTGGAAAAAAAATCTTAAAATTTCTCTCTTCCTCTACCAAAAATATAAGCATTAATACTGACTGTCATATAAATAAATTTGAGACATGGGTTAAGAACATTTCTTTGCTTGATCTGAATATTAACTTTGAGAAAAAAAGGAAAACCATACACACACACACACACACACACACACACACACACACACACAATCTTGGAAAAAGAAAAATCACCTTGTATGATAAACTCTGGTAATGTTCTCAGTGGGCCTAGCATAGGACTAAGTACCATATGGGGAAACTTTGAACAGCAAAGAATAGGCATTAGATTGAAATCTTCAAACTACCATTTTTCAATGGAGAAAATGGCTGAGTAGATATAAGTATTGCTATGCACTAAATTCATTTCCTGTGTTAGTAAAGTTAATTAAGAATTAACTTGTACAAGAAATCTTCTAGCTGGGATGATAGGATTTTAAGCTGGATGAAAATAATCTACTCATGGAATGTATTAAGGAGTCAGTTGGAAATTTCTAGGATGTTGCTAAATATGAAAATCACTTGAAAGTAACCAGAGGTTACAAGAATTGAAACATTTTAATTATATCAACCAAGATGACAATACTAGTTTGAATAAATCATTGTTTAATAGTGATAACTCTTTGTCATAAAAAATTTAAACAAAACTCACAGCACAGTTCTTTGGTCAATGTGTATTACTTGCCAGGTTTCTTGATGCATTCCTTGCAAGAGGCTATTTTTGGATATTGCATTAAAAAATGATAACCTTTTAGTTTGGTTCTTAATGATCATTAAATATTAGTGATCATTGTTATTTGAAGCTACATCTAATGCTATAGATATCAATGCTGATTTCTGTGTTTAAATTTGCACTTTTTTTTTTTCCTTTTTTTTTTTTTTTTCTTTTTTTTTTTTTTTTTTTTTTTAAGCTTCTGTTTTATTTCTATTTCTAGGTGAAGCCTTCTTGAAGTTCTCACGAGTCACCAAAGAGCTCTCAGCCCTGATGAAGAACCTGGTGAGTTGTCAAATTCTGATTGGTGAATAAAATCCCATTAAATGATTGGTTGATTGCATCAGTTTCTCTCTGCTTCTTTACATCACAGATAGTTTTTTTTTTTTTTTAATTTAATCATAATATCTTTTCTAAAAATCTTTGTAAAAGTTTGAAAAGGAGTAGAAAACAAGAAACAAAAAATATTGCATTTTAATTAAAACTTTTAATTAGAATTATACTCAGACTTAATATATTACTCAAGGTGAGATTAATTCTTTGAATCTTGACCTCATTTTCAAAAAAATATATATCTACTAAACAAAAACGATATGAAATAAAAGAAAATAGCAAAAATGTTATGCATTTGACAATCAGTGCCAATATTCTAGTGTTACCAAAAAGTAGATGATGAATGAAATAAACAGTGGCAAGAAGCCAGAAAAGCATGGAAGTGGACACTAACACATTTGTTCCTCTAGGTTAGTGTTTCTCAAACTTTTTATCCTTCTCAAGGAACCCCTGCACAAAAACAAAATTATATACCCTATCTTTCTCATTTTATTTTCATCATAGTTCACATGGTAAATATCATAGTATATATTTTTGAATAACTGGTTTAAGAAAAAATTAATACTTCTTTGTCAAATTTTTCGATAATGCTAAATAAAATTAATTCATATAGTTTCTCACCTGTTCTCACAGAATCCTTGGGGACCCTTTTGTGGAACCTTAGGGTTTTAAGGAACCCCGGTTGAGAAATGCTGCTCTAGGTCATTAAAGCTTCTAAAAACAGCAGACATTTTAGTTAAGAATGATGAAACCTGGAATAGGCAATTGATAGCAGCAAACCTGCCTGGCTGCCAAAGATTCTTCTCCAATAGCAATCAGCCAGAGGCCTGATTTGGTAATCTTGCGTGCTGAGAGGACAGTTGTTTAGCTAGTTGAACTCTGTTCCACACGAGGACAGCATTAATGCAACTCTTCTCCAGAAAGAAGAGCAGTACAAAAAAAAAAACCCTGAAGAAATGCAAAAATGGGAGGTGGAAGGCTAAACATTTCCCTGTTGAGGTTGGCTGTAGTAGTTACATCAATGCACTTTTGTGCAGATGGCTAGTATTCATTAAAATGAAGCCAAGAAAAGTAAGTGGAGCCCCTAAAGGATATTCATACAGCAACTGAGAAGTTGAGCCATTGGATTTGGCAAAAAAAAAAAAAATGTGAGAGATGAAATTTGGCAAGAGAAATGACCCCTTGAAAGAATGTGAAGTAACCAACAGGTAGTAAACTAGTTGAACCAGGTGGTGGGTCCTCACATTAATGGGGTGGGGGTATTGTGTGCAATAAAATCTGTCCAGAAACAGGCCCCAAAACAGAGCACATTCTTTCTTGATGACATTCTTGGTATCTGGTACATGGAACATTTAATGGACAACACTTTCAATAGCAAGCTGTTCTTAAATTGTTATATTTTCTCTCATATTTGTTGAATAATCTTATATTTCAAGCATTTAACTATGTTCTTATCTAGGTATTCTTTTTTCAACCCAAGCAAGATAATAAAGCCACAATGAGTTACTGAGGATTGGATTTTCCATTTCTAGGGGGTTAACACAATTTAGTTTCAGTTGAAGCTTTATTATGTATTTTCAATTTATTGCCTAGCAACATGTACTCATATTACCTAAGGTTCAACTTTAATTTGAATCTTGTCCACAAAATTCAATTAAATTACTATTATGATAAATTCCTTAAAATTCAAATCCTGTGCTTACCTTCAGCAAGGTTTAAGTAATTCCCTCTTGGCCTGGTATGGGTCTTGAATCTTGTTCAGCAACTTTCTTAGAGATGGTGTATCAATGTATTGAAATTCTTAACTCACTACTCAGTAGAACACTAATGAATAGAAAAAAAATTGACAGGTTTACAGGTTACAATAGATTAATTTAAGGTGTATCTTAAAATAGATGTACAGGTGGGATAATCATTATCAGCCAATCATTATACACCAATGAATTTAGAGGAAACCTTTTCAAATCCAATCTCTATATTTTCAATGACTTGCAGCAGTAGAAAATCAGAAAATTAATGACTTGAAACATAGAATAAGCATTGGGAATTGAAACTTCCTTTATTTGCAAATCTAGCAGGTGAAAAATACCTGTTTGGATTACAATTAAAATAGAATCATATAGAAAGGAGCAACCACAATGTAAGAGTCTTGCATTTTGTATTGTCTTTAACTTCAATTCTTCAGTTCTTCAGATCCCAGTGTCACATTAGAGACTGCATCTACAATGGACGATTTTCTTTCCTTATCTTGCTTTATTATATAAGGGATAGTAGCTGTAGCACTGTTTCTAAGAGGAAGAGAGAGAGAGGGGAAATGATGAAAGAGGACATATATTGACTCAGCGGCTAGGATTTTATCGCCATGTGCTGACTTGCTTCACTAAGGAATCTGGGTCTGGGAGGTATGTTAACCCTCCAAATTCTTGCAGCATCTTTGTGTCCTAATAGTGAAACTTAAACAAAGGCAATCCATAGTTGTCAGAAGTTCATACCCACAGGATCTTCTGACCTGAAGTTGCCATTCTGGCCCAGCCTTTGCATTCTGTAACAAGATCACACAAAAGAAAATGTTTTTAAAAAAATTAAAAGGTGACATTTTTTTTTTGTTTATTGTCGAGATCTACCATAATCTTTTTTCTCTTCTCTTTTTTATTATTAAATTTTCTTTTAACTACAGTAATATTTTCAGCTTTGTTTTGTTTATTTTTTCTCCATCTTTCTCTCTCATCAATTCAATTTTGTTTTTGGTTTAGTTTTGCTTATAAATCCAGTTTTTTGATTGTCATATTGACACTGTCTTTTACAATTTTCCTCTTTTTATTGTGTTCTATGATGGAATGAAGGTAGACAAGATAAAATGTAATAATGAGAAAAACTATTATCAAAAGAAATAAAAACTTATCAACTTGTCAGAGTTAATTCCTCTTTAATTTCCTAATTGTCCAAATTGTTCCTAGGGGACGCTCTCCCAACACTATAAATACTTGGTGATTTCTTCCCTTGCCCTATTTTTCACTTTGCATTTTCAGCAGACACTACGACAGTGTAGGCTCTTGCGTTTTCCCAAGGAAACAAATAGTGCCCCTCACATTGTTATAGTGTCCACTGAAAATGCAACGCGAGAAAGAAATCGCCATGTATCTATAGTGTTAGGAGAGCGCCCCCAAGGAACAATTTGGACAATTAGGAAATTAAGGAGGAATTAACTCTGACAAACTCATAAAAACTCCAACATGTTGGCATTTGGAAATTACTGTTCAAACAACAAGTTTGTTTAATTTCATCTTAAGATAAACACATCAGTTCATTCTTCTCACAATTCTTCAACTTCTAACGCAATTGATGAAAATAATTAATCGAGCTGCTCATACATTGGCTTGTTACATTAACATAATAACATTAGAATTATGTCTATAGCTGTTATGGTATGTGACAATTATGCAATTGAATACAAATTGCTGTTTTAGCAGAATATGGGATTTTCTACATTTTTTTTTTTTTTTTTTTTTTTTTTTGAAGAAATGACAAAAAATTGAACATCAGCCTTAACAAATAACTGACATTATTCTAGCTAGTATAAAACTCTGTGACAGTTCTATCATCAGCATATTATCACTATACTTGATAGAAACTAGAATTTAGCCTGGGCATGGAGCTTAGATTGGGTGTGAGATATTTCTCTTGATTAAGGCTTGTTTGCTGATTCAAAATCATAAATAAAGAATCCCTAAGAACCATATGACTTCCCTTGAAAGAATGTGTCCATCCTATATTTTGCTTCTACAAAACTTTAGCCTCTTAATATAACTCTTCAGTTTTTGCTAAAGAAAGTGTTTTTAGTTCACTCTTTTTATGCATAATTATTTATAAATATCAAGCTTTCAAATTGTGAAGTTTTTCTATGATACTTTCTTTATACAGAATCTTTGTAGTATTAGAACAAGAATTAAAGATTAAATTTTATAAATGTCCCATTCAATGATTTCCAATCTGTGGGATTCTTGTTATAACTTTTTACAAAGACAAGCTAAGTTGTCCAACTTTTAGTTAAGGCTTTCAAAATTTGTGTTTCTGTAGAATATTTTTACTCCCCCTCACCCAAATCAAGATTTCAATGACTCTTTGAACCTGGTCAGTATTTAGATGGGTGACCACTTGGGAATATCAGGTGCTGTAAGCTTGGATATGTGGGTAGTGTAAGGGATAATGGCTTGAAATTGTTAATCAAAAGATTGAGTTTCCAATTTCCATTGTGTTCATTATATTCACTTACGAGCAAATACCCTTGGGGAAAGTTATGAATCAGCCACTTCTCCACCCAAGCTATAGGTTAATTAGTTAATCTTGTATCACTAAAACATTATTATTATTTCAAAAAAAAAAGGAAAAAAAAAAAAGGAAAATTCTTACACTCTAAAAATATTCTCTAGTTTTAAATAACCTGCAAAGGGTTGATAAGTTGTAGCAAATAAATCAATCAATCACTCTTACCTTTCTATACTTTCATAGGTTTACTTATGAGAAGATACCAATACACTTTCAAAAATCTGACAAAACGGTATTTTTTGGTGACCTTTCTTAATTGAGCCAATAACTTTTCAGCCACCCTAATAATTAATGATACAGATTAAGTGTTACTAATAATTACAAAATGTAAAATAACTTTTTTTTTTAATTTTATTATTATAATTGTCTGCATCTTTTCTCTCATAGATCCAGTAATTATTCTTGAAAAGATAAGAATTCTGTGAAAAAACCCCCCAAAAAAACATAGTATCATTATACTTGTTCCTCTGTTAGTAAGTTAGCCTGTGTTATGCCCTCCCATTACCTCAGATAAATAATAGACTATACCCTTTTGATTTCATGGAAAGAAGATATATCAGAGATACTGTTTGTTTTTTCAAGAGAAAAAAACATACATAATTTTAAAAAAAAATGTAAAAAATGGGAAGACAGGAGACAGTTTTCATGCATTTAACATCATCTTCAGTGAAATGGAAAACATTGTCAATTTTAAATCTTTTATATATATATTATATTCATGATTGTTAATGCCATGTTTTGTTAGTTATTAAACTCAGATATTTAATCAACTTAAGAGTTATGATTAATCATAAAATTCATATAGGAAAACCATGAAATTTTCAAGGTTACTGCTAGTTTTTATTAAATTTGATTTATTATTATATAAAATGGAGAGAGAGAGAAAAAAATATAGTTTTAAGTTAGGAGATATATGTATATATAAAATATTTTGTAATCCGTATGGAAATTCCAAAAAGGGGTATAAATTCAGAGAGTTCAATGTCAAAAACAGAGCAAATAATAATTATTATAATGAAAATGAACACTTAAAAGACCATGGTGATATTTATCTCGTTATGATCGAAGATTCAATCCCAACTCTTCAGACTGACTCTTACACACAAATTAAGCTAGTGAAATACATTGAAGTTAAATCAAAATTTATGTCACCATCTTTGAGATATATATATATATATATATATATATTATGAAACTTTAAGATTTTTTTTAGAGTGCACAGATGCTATGCACATCTTAAAAAGATCAAGGAGTGACATTGATTCTGTCATCATCTTCAGCAGATTGATTGGAGGTTTTGAGGATCATGAAATTGCTTTTTAATTGTTCTCAAGTCCACTCTAACTTGCGGTGGTAGCACCTGTTAGGGTCCCAGCTATTGGCAAAATAGTGAACTCCCAAACAAAAACAAAATATTAGAAAATTATAAAAGTACATTTTTATAGTAATACCAACAATACCCATTTATAGTAAATTGACCAACAATACATTTTATTTGTAGTTGAAACCAGATTTTGGCAATATATAACCTATAGAGGTTGATATGCTGCTAAACAAAATCAACCAACAGGAAAGAACTCTTTCATGACATTAATCCATATAATAACCTACAATTTCTTAAAGAAATCAAACTGTATTTCAAAATATAAATTGAACAAAACATCATCATAAAACACACACATCACCACCTCTAATATTCATGTCTACATGAACATGTATATGCACAAAAGCTGAGTGTCATCTACTATGTATTCAATTGTGAAAGCAGAATAACATTTTTATTACTTCAAAGTTCCCAAGAAAATTAAATTTCAGCATTAAATGACCCATAAAGGAGTTGATATGCCATTAATCAAATTGAATCATTGATCGAAGATACTTTTATCATAAGCAGATGTGATGATGTGTATGGGAGTAATTCTATGCTATTTTATTGAATAAAGCAGACAATAGTTGGATGAAATATGCATTGGAGTTTAAAAATATTTCAAGCTAAAAAACAAATTTTTGTATCTAAAATTTTTATGATACTGTAGTAAGCATCCGTTTATCATTTGCGATAAAGGTAATGCCCTGTTTAGTCAAAATTCAGTCATTTGGTAGTAAAACTGGAGTGACCTCTCCAGGGTGTAGGCCTGTGGGATGGTATATGCTACCCAGATTATCCACTCCCAGCCATACTGACATGATTCAAAGGAATACATGGCATTACATTTGGGGACAATTTGGCTGCAGGAGTTGCCGTAAAGTTGTCATTGTTGACTGCCAACCACCTATGAGACTCCATTCTGAGTTTTCTGTCTGGATTTATTTCCATAGCCTTTTCTGTGTTTGGTTATAACTGCAAGGCAGTGGAGGTTTAAAATCAGTTTTCCTGCCCCTAGATAGACTGTCTTCATGTGCTGTCAAGTTTCATCTACCTGAAACAGCTGGTTATGAGGTTCTAGTTGTTTGCCTTCATTCATTCTCTGGTTTAGAGTTGGACTTAGTTGTTAGGGACTATTTGAGATGTATACCATAGAAGCATTTTATAGATAGCGGGAGTTTGGGACCACTATCACCCCTGCATATGACAATCTTTGGAACATATATATGCATATAAGCATTATATACATTACATGTTTTAGAAGCTCCCAAAAAATTGTTTTGTTTTTTTTTAAATATGTAAAATGTTAGGAACACAAGAAAGCAAGACAAATTATGTAATAGTCGTACATAAATAAACACAAATATCGAAAAGTTTGTTAATTTTAGAAAAAGATATCAGAAAGAAAAAAATGAATATATAACTCACCTAAAATACTACAGTATCGTAAGTGTGGAAAATTATATTTTCCACAGATACTGTAACTGGTTGCTTAGTATCATAATTTGATGACCATATACCCATGCTGCAAACTTCAGCAACCTTGCTTTTAGGTCTTTGTATTATTTATACAATAAACTTTGATTATTCTAAGTTCATTAATTACTATTGATAAAGTTTCTAGTTATTATATTTGTTGCAGACAGACATGTCACTGGGATTGGGCAATTCTGAAACTAAAATCTGATTGTGAAACAATAAAAAAAAAAAAAAAAAAATTACACTATATTTGGATTATTGTCCTCATCTTTGTTGTTTTTATCATAACATTTGAGATGTTGTACCCACCAGCCTTCTTCAGGTGTATATTGATTAAGGTAACCTACAGGGAATTCCCTATATATCAGCAGTGAAATGAGAACAGTCTACACCCGTAGATTAAATAAAGGGTTCAGTTCAGAATTCGCTGTAGATTACCCAGCTTGATATACACCTGAGGAAAGCCGGAATGCACAATGGCCAAAACGTTGTGATAAAAACAACAAAGATGAGATCAATGGTCCAAATATAAATAGTGTAAATAACGATAAATACAGGCAAAAACTAAAATTTGATTGTAAAAACAATGTAAACTAATTTTTGTGTGCAAAATCTTGCTCACAGACAGCCTTCATATAAAAACAAAAAAAAAAAAATACACTTTGATGATTGGTCTGTTGCAGAACAATAACAGCAACACATTAAACTTACATAATGTTTCTGCTGTATTAACACACTTCTCAATTTCTCATATATTTCGCCATATTTGTGGGCTTATAAAATTGTTAAAAAAAAAAAAAAAACACAGTTGTACCATTTAATTCATCAATGTTGGAAACTGGTTACAAAAGGACCACACAAAATAACTGATATGTCCCAGAAAGGGATATATTTGAGTGAAGTAGCTAAGTGGTTTTGGCTGCTATAACCAAGTAGAATATGGTAGCAGTAATCGACTGGTACGTATCTTAGTCGCAGGTAAGAAATGTAGATCAATGGCGTAGTCCAATGGACATCGTTATAGACTTAGCTCTCAGACTAAGGCTCTGACTTGTACGTACATGTCCGTCGATATCTATGACGGACACCAGCCAATCATATTCCAGTGAGGGGGAACACAGGTGTACGCATATTCCATTATATCAATAACTCCATAAAAAAATGAAATTAACCCCATTGTATTAAATTTTTGTAGTTTATTGTTAAGGGTTTTTCTGATGGTGAATAAGATAATACATTTTTAATATAATTTACATATGATAAATGAAAGTTTGTTTGCTTATACTTTTTTAATTGTTTACATTAAACATAATTTCTAAGATTAAAAAAAAATAATAAACATTTTATGTGAAAATGAACATTGGAAATTAAGTTTATAGCTTTTTGATTTGGTTTTAAGTTATAGTTATGTTTTTATACATTCAATTTAATGATCTGGCTTCTAAACAACTAAATTCAAATTAATGTTGGTAACTGAATTGAACAATTCTCATAGTATCAGACTATGAGAGTTACTAGATCATAGAGCTGCAACCTATAATAATTAGAATAATAAGTTGTACAAAATGAAAACATTATGATCATCTGGAAATTTGAACATTCAGACTGATAGAGAAATCTAGGTAAATCAGCAAAAATATAATTGTAAAAAAAAGATGTTGAAAAATCATCTGATAGATATTGCAACCCAGCAGACTGAAACACTCTTTGAAACTAAGCAAATACAAGAATCTTGAAATAGAAATCAGTTGAATTTGGCATCATAAGCCAACAACATTACCTGTTGTTATTGGAGTTTTGAGAATTATATCAAAAGTAGCAAACAAATATGTGGATCAAATTCCTGAATACCGAGTGAGATTGTGAAGTGAGTTAATACAGCAGCAATATATTACATAAGTTTAATGTGTTATTCTGCAACTAGGCACATCATGGATACTTATATCTTGTGTAGATTTCTCTTTATAAAATGACCACAATTGGATATTTTTATCCCTGAATGCATGACACCTATCTGTTTGCTTGTTATTTCTTGTAGTGACTCTATAGTTGAGATATGGAGGTAACTCTTGCTACACAAAGCAAAGGGAAAACTTAAAAAAAAAAAAAAAAATCCCACACAGAAACTACTATTTAATTTATGAGTATTATGATTATTTAAGGATCCTTCCTGTTATACAGTGGATGAGCAGTTAAACAAAAAAAAAAAAAAAAGTTCTTATAAAATCTTACAGGCTTGTAAATGCAGCAATTAAGATTTGATTTCTTGTTTTATCCAGACTCTATAACTTGTGTTTTTTTTCTCTACAGATAACAAGTCTAAACAACATACTGCTGTTTCCTCTAGACAACTTCCTCAAGGGAGAACTCAAAGGAGTAAAGGGAGATTTGAAGAAACCTTTTGATAAAGCATCGAAAGAATATGAATCGAAGTTGTGAGTATGTTTTTTTCTTTGGTGAAATTTGTGGATTTGAAATAATTGTTTGTGAGGGCTGTTGAAAAAAAATTTCAGTATACTGATTTTCGGAAGTGAGTTCTGTTATAGTGGAACACACCTATTCTATAGTTAATAGACCTCCCACTTATAATAAGTAGGAGTAGTAAGAGTAACGAGAAAGTTGCTAAGTCGCTCAGTGAGTTTGTCAATCAGTCGATGTCGGATGACCATTAGTCGGATACTAAAGTATCAGCGACCACCACTAGATTTCTCTGCGTTATACCAATTATATCAAGTTCCTAACGTTGTACATCGAACCTATTTTAGGACCGACTTAGTACAAATACAAACCTTCACCGTGAAATCACTCCATAACAAGTTCAACTTAGGATTTTTCAGTACTCCTTTGTAGTAAATTAGCTTTCAGGTCCAAATATAGCTTTTCACTTTCCTTTCTGTTTCTATTGTATGGTTTTGTTTTCAAATGTATATTTGTCTAACAGTCATTTACTTTTTCAAATTCTGAACTGGTAACTGTTACATATTCAAAAATTTCTTAATTTATTTTTCTGTTTTATTTAGAAAGTAACCATTAGTCATAACAAAAAAATGCCAATATATAAATTTGTGTCTTGGCATTTTTTAACAGGTTTTGGATAAACTTAAACAAGATTCTCATTTGATATTCAGTAAAACTGGATAATACAAAAACCCACAAAATAGTTTGTGAAATTTTATTACAAAAATATTACCTACCCTAATATCTAACCACCCACTTTTTTCCATAAGTACTTCTCTTGGGCATGTATAAAATGATCTCAATTGAAAAATGTCAAAAGATCATATTTTATGTGACCATCACACATGCTGTTCAAATTTGTCAGGTATTTTTGATCATACTTTGTATATATTGTGCCAGTTAAAGAATATAGTTTGTTTTATGTATTTATTTTAAAAATTGTAACCTTTAAATTTTTATATGAACTATTTTAAAATATTTTGCTCTAGCCATGTAGATCTGGGGTTTAGGAACTAACTTTCTAAGTGGTCACAGAATTGAATTGTGTATAATTCAGTATTTGTTATTTTTCATGAAAATTGCGAAAAATAACATGAAAAATCACGATTTTCATGAAAAATACTGAAGGAATGTCTGAGAATTTGAGAAAAATTGCGGATAAAGCTAGTTAAAAGGTTAATTAAAAAGAAAAAAATAATGAAAACTTGCAGTGCTGTTGCTTTTACTTTGTCTCGACATGAGATCACCACTTTTTCCATTTGTCCAAGTTACTTTTCCTTCACTATTAGGTCAAACAGGAAAAGAATCAAAAATGAAAATTACAGATATCAGTGCTAATCTTTGATCCAAAGATTTGTAATAAGAAATACAGAGAAAATCCTCCCCCTTCTCTTGGACATGAGTAGAGGCTTACGCCTGGTTTTCTTGTTTAGAAGGGTTTCCGTACTCTCTCTCTCTCTCACTGGCCTCTGTATCTCCAGTTGCCTTGATCTATCCACCCTCTTCTCCTCATCCTTTCTTCTATCACTCCTATCTGATCTTGCTCCAAATTTTCTGTAACCCCTTGCGTCCTAGTGGCTTTCCGCCTTGCTTGGGGTGAAACGCTTTAAAAAAAAAAAAAAAAAAAAATGAATTTGTCTCCCAGTAATCAACTGGCTTGAATTTAGTTATAAAGTTCGTGATATAATGATTTGAACAGAGGCAAATTCTATTTTTATTAAGTTATTAATGCTTATGTATTTTTTCTTCTTCAGCTCCAAGATAGAAAAAGAAAAGAAACAACAGGCCAAAGAAGTGGGAATGATTAGGTCTGAGGTATCTGGGCCAGAGGTAGGTATGATAAGGGCATATGTAAAATTTAGGTCTGCATTACTTTTTCCTTTGGATATACACATATAATGTTATGTTAACTATAATCTAAGAAAATGCTCTCATGTTCTATTAAAGCACTTATATAAAATACACTTTGAAGCTATACACATGTGGAAGTTAATATTCCTTCTCACAAAGATGTTTATAGTGTTACAGATGTGAAGTGTGAACTTGTTGATGCATTCTCTGAGTATAGAATCACATAGATATCATAAGTGAATATAATTATTGCTTGATGAAAAACAGTGAAAGTTATGGCAGTTTAAGATATGCAACTCTGGAAACAATGAGGAAAGGACAGATGACAGCATAAAGTTTGGAATCTGGTTACCAGTTTCTAAATGCCTTGTTGAATACAGAATAGCTATAATCTTGTGCCTTTTAAAAAATCTTAATGATTAAAGATATACAAACAATTGAACTGTTTAGTGGTTCTCAAACTTTTTTGTCCAATGCACCATTTTCACCATATGTCAGAATGTCATCCTTCACTGTTTGACTCAAAAGGTAGATTCCACATAATATGCATATATTATTGAAAATCTTCATTCTTTTCCATATTAGTACAGGGATTATTTTTATAGAGGTTTTTTTGCCACTCATGATGAACTCCAAATTCTGTAAAAAACAAAAAAACGTAAGATTCCTCTCTTGAAACTATGAAATTCTCCCCCTGGTTGGGAACCCCTTGTTTAGTAAAACTTATGTGAAAGTTGTATTCTTAATACAGTTTTTAATTATCCAGTTTCTTTGTTGGGATATTTTTCAAACTCTAAATAAATTGCATAATCAGTGTACTGATGATAATACTTAGTGTTTTATTCTTTGAATTCAGCCAAGAAACACTATTTTCATAAGATGTATTTAGATATACCCACCCACTAAAAGGCATTAAAAGTAATGAAGTGAATATTTTAGTCTACCAATCTATATTCAAAAGATATTACCACTGTCTCATGATGATTGTTATATTTGTATACACATTTCATGGGATAAATGTAATAGTATTTATTTAATACTTTATTTCTCTCTGTCCTATAATAGTTATTTCATGTGCATGCGCATTACATATATTAAATGTTGCAACTATTATAGGGTAGTAGTAGTATTTAAAAAATAGAGGATAAATACAAAAACATTAAATTCATATAGATTAAATTGTTATATAACAATTTTAAGAATTAAGATTTTTTTTTTTTTACTTCTGCTAGATGTTTCAGCCATTTGTCTAACTTAATAAATTTGAAAAACTAGTTTAGGGCTTTGTGACCCCTCAATATGTCAAAATTTCTTTCTTGGGATTTATGTTATAAAAAAAAAAGTCACTCACTTATGGCACATGTCAAAAACATTAATAAAGGAGAAGCAATGGCAAAAACCATATTAAACAGTATGAAAATCTGCTATAAGTAAATTGACACACAGGAATTTGGTAAAAGAAAATGAGTTTAAGAAAAATCCAACCCAATCCAGTTAATACAAGAGGAAAAAATAAAATGAATGGTGCTTGGAATAATGCTTTTATTTCTTTACATGTATGGGACCTACCATTTTTTAATATTTCAAGAACTGATCAGATGACCTTGATGTAATTTAGCAACTAATTAAAATGGAATTTATTGTACATGTGTGAATAGACACTCTCCCTTAGGTTTATTTGTTGGCAATGAGCTGCTATTAAATGAGCTTGTGTACTGTGTGACTATCACTGTTAATAATCATTAGGTTTTTACTTCATTCCTCCATTAAAAAAAAAAAACTGTTCAAATAATTAAAAAAAATTTAAGGGTAAATTCAATGAGTGAAGCCCAGATAAAATTTTGGTACTGATGCTACAAACATGGATGAAAATCTATTGAAAAAGCATTTTGAGAAGCCTTCAACAAGCAAGACACTTGAAAATGTTAAATGTGTGTGTGTAGGCTGTAATAAAAAAAAATGGTAATACAGGAATTAAGATCTGGAGATTCTACAGACTCTGGAAGGTACCCAGTAATTTTGAATCTCTTGATTGTCCATTCTTCACATTTCAAGCCAGAATTTTTAGAAAAACTGCATCTGAGATTAGTTGGTTACTTTTCCTTGCCATTCAAAGCTAAAAAAATCAATGTTGAAAGATAGCTTATATTTCACATAGTGGACAAGATTAATAAGAATGTAATAATGTAATTAGTGACAACCCTCAAAAAGGACTTGGCAGACAAGTTGTAAAGGGTGGGGGGAATACTTTTGAAGAGGACTAAAGCACCATTGCTTTTGTTAGGCTGCTTTTTCTTGAATATTTTGATGTTTGAATATTTTCCAAAACAGACCCCATATATACATTAAAAAATTTGTAGCCTAATGATGGGATAGAGAAAAAGCGTTTATTTTATTCAACAAATGCTTAAACATAATTTCCTTGTTGATAAATTCTTTGGTGAATATTAAAATATTAATCATTCAAATTAAACATTATACAATGAAAATTTAAAATCAAAATTCACCTAATAACTGTTATTGCAGACTTATTGAGATCTTGTACATATGAATAGATGTATACACATGTGTGTGTGTATATGTATGTATATATATATATATATATATATATATATATATATATGAATGATGAATTACAATCAGATGCAGGCTGGAATCCAACAGAATGATAGGATAAAGAACAAATAAGAAAAGATTATCAATCTAACAGCTTTCACTTTTATTAAAGCTACATCAGAGAATGAGATAGGACAAAAAAAAAAGAAGAAATTCTGGAATTTTTATTTTTGTGTTTGATTCTCAATGGTTAAGCAGCCTTAGTATAATTTATGGTCTCCCAAACTCAAGCAGAGATGTGGTGTCCTTTTGAAGCTCAGGGGAAAAAAAAAAAAAAATGAACAAAGCCTAATTGAAAAAAATGTAAATATTGTTTTATATATGTCAGTATATTATATCTCTACTTTGTCTATGTGGGATTCAGATGATAATGTATATTCAAATTCACAGATCATTTGGACAATTATTACACACTCTGACCAAAAAAGAAATCACTTGTATAAATGTAAGAAAAATATAAAAAGTCCTTGTCAGTTGTCCTCAATGGAAGCTGTAAATATATTAAAAATAAAATGGTATGAAGTCAAAACAATTTGAATAAAAATATCAATAAGGTCATAATGCTTTTACATTACTAATTATTTAATTATAATACAAAAAACAATACAATATAAAAGCAATACAATTAATACTAAAGTTGGCATTGTTTCAACAATTTGATATATTTTATATAACAAGGTTAGTTCAGTTTCAAAACAAAATTGAGCAAATTAGTCTTGCTTTTTGCATCTATTCAGATTATATACTCTTAAAAATGAATGATCTCTCTTTACAACCTTATCAGTCAATTTTAAACCACCAAAGACAAAAGAAACTCTGAAAGATGTATTTTTATGTAATGAGTTCTTGATTAACAAATAACGATATGTGATTGATTTTGTTAATATTTTCACTTATTGATACCATTCTCAGACTATCATTCCTTTAATTGATTTTGTTTCATTGCAGATCGCTGAAGAAATGGAAAAGGAAAGAAAGATGTTCCAGCTTCAGGCATGTGAAGTAAGTCATTTTAAACAATTTTCTGTTTTTAAATCTTCATGATGGATCTTTTATGCAGTTTCTCTGATTCTTTTCACTCTTAAGTTATTTAAACAAATAAAATGCTTTATGACTAAAAGAAAATTATATTTGGTAATTCCTTAGAACTGCTACTTTGTGGAACAGACTCCTGAGAGAATGATTCCACCATTCTCTTCAACATCATAAAATAATATCTGCTATTGTGACTCAATTATTTTAACTCGCAAATTTGTTTTTTTTCTTCTTAATTCATTCTGATTACAAAATATTTTGCACTTTGTTTATAGATTCATAATAATCTACAAAAAAATAGCCATATTCACTCATCAATGCAAAGTTAAATTAACTTATGTTATATTACTTTCTTAGGTGAATTTTGACAGAAAAACAGATTCTGAAATTTTATAATTTGTGTGTTTAGCAGTCTTTTTTTTTTTTCCTAATATAATTCAGTGGGATTTTATTGATAACATTTGCTTTATTTTTGCTGCAGACTGATTGTACATTGAGAATGTCATTTAGATTAGCTTTACATTTTTTTATACTAAATTTTCACCCAATATGAGGCCCAAGAGCCACTCAAGGTAGAGGAATACTGAGTGAGGTTGTTGTATGGACTTAAGAGGAGGAAGTAGTTGAAGATTATGAGAATATATAGGATAGATAATAGTTGACCCTAGACTTGAAGAGGTTAAGATTGTGGTGATCAGGGAAGTATTCTCTCAAAGTAGCAGTTTTGAGGAAGAAACTGTTTGAGTGAAATTACCAATGGAATATGAAGGGAATGAAGCTTTGACCCTGTGTACATGACATGACATATCCTAGCTGTAAAGGTCTGAACTGGTGGCATTAAGGAATGTAGTTCATCTGAACATTTGCCATGAAATTGATTGATTGATTTGTTATCTATGGTTATCAACCCATTTCAATATTTTGCATGTAAGTGAATATAACAAACCAACAGGAATTGGAACTTGGCTCCCTGATTAACAATTCTGAGCTGTTATCCATTACACCACCTGCATGTCCAAGCTTATAGTACCTTGGGACTGGCCAGGCTCAATGTTGCTTAACTTTGGTGATTGTAATTTGTGATGAAAATAGCAATAGAGGAGCAATAGGCTTGCAATGTTTTATCTGAAGAAAGGGGCTGTAGAGTTAAAAATTGTATAGTTTTAAATGATATGGCATTTGTGATTTGTTTCACAGTCTATTATCTATACTATTATTTTTTGTTTGTATGATTTCTATTTTTTGTTTGTATGAAAAACTTGCATAATATTTGTGAAGGAATTGGGAACAGAGAGAAGAAAGGAAATGGTAGAATCTAAGAAAGCAAAAGAAAAATGGAAAAAAAAAACCTAAATTAATTTATTGGAATCAAATCTTGAATGTGTGTGTATAATAAAGTAATTTCTACCTTTCAATTTTAACATTTTAATGTTTCTAAGCTTTTCTTTTGATTGACATTTCCAAAATGATCAGAACACAAGCTAATTCCTTTTTCTTTTTCCAGTACCTGATAAAAGTAAATGAAATTCGTACAAAAAAAGGAGTTGACCTCTTACAGCACCTAGTTGAATATTACCAAGCCCAGACCACGTGAGTATTTACTACCATGAGATTGGTGGGAGGTAAATATATTATGCATCTGTTTTTGTTTTTATATATATATATATATATATATATATATATATGATGGACTCTCCCGTCGAGTTTGATGTATGAGGTTCCGATGACCACAAACTAATTATATGCATGACTTTTGAGACCAGCTCAAGAATTGCACAAAAGACCACAAACAGTACAGGAGAATGTACTGTATCCAAGTGCAGTAGGAACACTGTTAGCGGTTTTATTTTTCTTTCGTGTTTCACGCAGTTGAATGATGCTTACTTCTTGATGGTGCATTATTCTTGAATGGCATCTAGAGCAATACTCTGATCTCTTCATAGCTACCTCTACAAAGCTCTTGAATGGTATATTGATGCAAGAAAGGTTGCTCTTCAGTTTATCTTTATACCGAAAGCCAAGGTCTACCGCCATTTCTATGACCACTATGGAGTTCACTGTAGAAAAGAACTTTTGGTATATGATCATCACTCATCCTTGCCACATGGCCAGCCCAATGTAGTTGTGATTGTATTATGAAGGTCTTGATGGTACCAATCTTGCATTTCTCAAAAAGGTCAGTATTTGACCCTCAATCATCAAACTTTAAGCCACAGATTGCATGGAGACAGCCTTTATGGAAGACATCAAATCAATTTATAATATATAATATTTGGCTTGATAAAGTCCTTCAGAGGATGAAATGTGTTGGCTAAGATAAGTTTTCCTTTTGTCTTTATTCATATTGTCCTTTTACAGGTACACACTATCTGAAATTTTTATGCACACCCTCAGACATCTTGTTTAATTTTATTGACTTTCCAAAATTACAAGTAATCTTTCACAGACAAGGAGAAAATTCTGTACCCATTATTGATAAGTATTCTTTTTATATTATTTAATTCTTTAAAGAAAATTATTTTGGCTGAGAATATAAATTTCGCTCTTTGGATTAGGTTATTAATGCCAGCAGTTTTATATTTTCCAGGACATTCACTTTTTCTACATCCTTCTCCATAATTTTGAATTCAGAATAGTTCTTCTAGACTAGCAGCCATCCAAAGCTAGGGAGACCCATTTACCATGCTATTCATTTTTTAAATTTAAATATGTTATGTCTATCCATGACATAGGTGAACATGACTCTCCACAGATTCTTTTCCTTGGGTATATATAGTAGAGTTGTTTCCCTGTTGCCATTTCCAAGGTTTTGAATTTAGAGTTTTCTTTTTCCTAGACCAGCTGCCAACTAACGTTTGAGAGCCTAGTTTGCCTTGTTGTTTAACCTATAGCTGGGGGAGAAGTGATGGATTTCTTGAGGGCATTTGTATGAATTGAATGTAACAGACTGAGAATTTAAACCGTCTGTTCCTCATTCTGTGTTGATAAGTGACACAACTTGCACATCTATTTTAAGTAAATACTAGTAAAAATTAATAACTGTTGACTGATTCATTTAATACAGATAAAAACAAGGTTGCTACTCAATATGTATAAAACAAGTTTTTATTTTTTTTTTTTATTATTTATTTTTATTTTTTTCTCTAAGATTTGACATTTTTGACAAATTTAAAGAATGCCTGGTTTTTAATTTTTTTTTGCTTTTTGATTTCACCCTAGAGTTAAAATGCGTAACAAATTTCATTCATATTTTATGAAGTGGTGCCAATAAATTTCTTGGCTTGGCCAAGAAGAGCTTAAAAAAAAAAAAAAGTATGATGTTGGCTATTGGGTCTGAGGAAGTTTTAACACTCCCTTATGCTTACAAAAAAATTTATTTTTATCTCTCCTCTTTGGTACCAAATAAAAGGGGATTCTAATAAATAGGGGTGGTTGGAGACAAAAAAGAGAAAACCTCATGAAAGATAAAGTGAGAAATAAATGTGTGCTTTCAATAATGGGTTTAGTTGGGAAATGATTAAAATCAAGTCTATTTACACTGTTTGGACTGTTGTCATCATCTTTGTCATATTCATAACATTTAGGCTGTTGTACGCTTCGACCTTCTTCAGGTGATATACGTTGGAATTTCAAAATGAACCCTTTATTTAGTCCACTGGGGTAGATTGTTATAGTTCTTGGAGACACATGGCCCAGTGGATAAAAGCGTTGGTTGAAGTAATCCAGTGACTTGACCCAAAGAGTTCAATACCTGGCCACAGCAGAATTGTGTTACTAAGGGAAATTAACTGTAAACTGAGCTATCCAAAGGCAAATTCCATGAAATTAGAACAATCTATCCACATGAACTAAATAAAGAATCCTGTTTGAAATTCCGACATATATCACTTGAAGAAGGTCGGAGCATACAATGGCCAAAATACCATGAATATGACAATAAAGATGAAGACAACAGTTTGAACAATGTAAATAGTGTAAATGGTTACATTACCTCATCTCAGATAAGACAGATATAGACAGATGTTAAAATTGAGTTTTTTAACTTTATAATTGGACTGCAAAGAAATGAAATTAAAAATAAACGTTTATCACTATCTTTAAGTAAAATGTTTTAACAAAATCAAAAATATTTAAATGATATTTTGACATTGTTACAATACAAATAAATGTTCATCAATAGCCAACAATATCCTAAAACATTGTAAAATGCGTTACTGAAATTGAAAATATTTCTATCATGTTAATTTTCCTTGTCTAGTTCAGTTCTACTCTTAATAAGTGTGTGGGAAGGTTATAGTAAACTCGGGGTGAGGTTGGAAACAGATCCAAAACTTAAGCAGTAGGAGATGTTTATTTGGCACCCTAGACTGTTTACACTTATAATGGTGTCAATGATATTGTATCTATCAGGTTTATAAAAGGTAACAGAACCCAAGATATGTTCATTAGAAAATAATTGTTGCATCTGCACTGAGGCAAATTGTTCTTTGCTTTTATTTCTGGATTTGTAATTGATATTTTCATTTTTTTTTTTTTTTTTAAGGCTCTGTTTAAAAAAACAAAAAAAAGTGTTATTTAACAGTACATTACCTATATTGATGCCAAACTTTAAATTTGTCTTACTGACTATTTATTTGTTTCAGTCTATTCCAAGATGGAATCAAAACTATCACTCATTTTAGCAGTTTTATCGACGGCTTAGTTGGACAGCTTCGCAAAATTAAACAGAGGCAAGATGAGGAACGAAGGCAGCTTATTGAGCTGAGAGATGTTCTCAAGAATTCCATGTCTTCTTTCAAAGAGGTATGTCCATACAGTTTGCCATTATTTCTTCATCTGTTGCTGTTTTTTATATCATGGTCATTGTTTACTTGAAACAATATTATTTTGAAACTTTTGATTGAGATTTTTTCAGTTTATAATGGCTTCCAAAAGCAGATTTAGGACTAAGGAATTCTGACATATAATCAATATGGTCAATGTTCATATCTCAAAGAAAAAGCTTTCTTAAATCTTTGATTTTTAAGATACAGGAAAAAATGTTATTTCTTTTGTTGTTTTATCTGTTGAGTTTCAAGAGACAGTTGTATAAATCATTTTTTTTTTTTTTTTACTGTATATTTGTTTACACCAAAACACACACAAGTTTAGTGTTTTCCACTTCACAAATAACAAAATTTAATTTTCAGATAAACACAACAAATTTGTCTTAGATAAAACAAGACCCTGAGAATGACATTTTGCTAATGTCGACAGTACTCAATAAATGAATATGCATCAATATAATAATTTTCTTTCTTCCTTTAATAAGTATGCTAAAAACTTGTCTAAATTATTTAATGAAATGTCTTAATCAAAACATGCTGCCAATAAATATATACATATATACACACACACACACAGTGCAAATTTTTCTCTATTGAGATTTCTTGGATATTCAGGCTAGTAGAAAAAAAATGGAACAACTACTCAAATATGAGTTTTCACTAAAAATAACATTTAAGTGACACACACACACACACACACACACACACACACATAACAGTGTGCCATAAATTAAAACTAATAAATTTTTGTAATATAGATTACCCTCTAAAGTTGAATTTATTCAGTTTTGATAACTTCAATCAGTTGTACTCAATGCTGAATTTGCATATATGTTGCATCTCAGGGGCCCCAAGATTAATCTTAGGCCCCCTAATAAAACTAAAAAAAACAAAAAAAATAAGATATAAGAACAGAGGAAATTTGTCTATTTTCAGAGTTAATGGGGCTCCTTTGAACTAATTTGGAACAATTTAGAGTACTTGGGTCCCTCTAGTTGGAGTGGGTCTATAAATTCGATGGTGGCCCCATTTAGATTTTGATGCATCTTTTTTATATAAATATATATTTTTGATGTAGGGGGCATGTTACTGGTGTCTTGACCCCCTGGCATTTTAGTTACACCAAAAAAAGATTATCTAAAAATTTTTTTTTTATGGACATAGGTGAGTGTGAACATACGTAATGAAGGGGCCTCATTGTACTGAATATATTTTTTGTGGTTTTTTGAAACAGGTGATTATTTTTTAAGCTGGAACCATTTTAACCCTAAGCTATTACAACTAGCATGTTGCTTTAAGGTGAAGATTTTTTTTATTGCATATAAGTTAATAATTTTATTTTTAGCTGTTAGATTTGATTTAGCATCAGGATTATTTATAGCTTAACAAAATTGTAACCATATTATCAGTAGTTAAATAAGCAAGCATAGGGCCACATTTATTTAAAAAAGTTAAGTAGTTTACAAAGACTTAAAGTTCAAATCAATCTCATTCTTTGTATTTTAAATTGAAACTGTTTTAACCTGTTTATTCTTCATTTATTTTTGTAAATTCATTTGTGATGAACATTGCTGCACAATGTCATTATGTCATATTCTGTTAATATAAATTGATAAAAACATTGAATCTTGATCACAAAGTGCGACAGTAGATAAAGTTCAAATTTTTATAGAATAAAATTAAGAATGTTATAAACAAGTTTTTTGACGACATGGTTTCAAGCTGTCATATAGCATAAAAGTGTTTATTTCTTTGAAAATTCATTTTAAACATTAACCAAATTAGAGGCTGAAAAAAAAAATTTACAATAATGAAAATTGGACTGAATCTCATTTATGGTCAATGCATCTGTTTGCATAAATCACTAGTGGGTAATATCCAACACCAATCAGCTACTTTAAAAGATTCCTGGGTGGTGGAAAAAAACAAACTACATATTAAAGATGAGAATTTTGGTAAATATGCTTGTATGACTATTATTATACATAATTATGCAGTCCAAGAATCTGTAACTATAATCCACTCAATATAGTTTTAGTATTAACCATAAGTTAGTTCTGTGGGTATTGAAGGAATATAAAATGTGCCTGAGCAGGCCCTGCAACAGGGAGTAGTTATCTACTCAAGCAGAGAAGCATACTCAGAAATGAGAAGCTAGCCACTATTATGTATAACTTGGTGTACATTTTTTTTTTATTTGTTGTAATCTAAAAATTAAGTTGATAATTCATAAAAAAACAATTATATATTTTATGGTTTAATTTGAAAACTTGTATTTAGAATGGAATGAAATTACAGATTGGTGATTACTTTTTTCTTATCGTGTTTTTAAATTTTATACATTAGAAAAAAATTGATTTAATATTATTATATATTCATTCATATATGTAGAGAAATAGATGAATTAATCAAATCATTTTGTTAAAAAATTTGGTGTCTATAAAAATTTAGATATAAAATTCTCCAAGAACTTTTATGGAGTAGTGCTTCAAATTAACATTTACCTGTGTTTAATATTTGACATTGCAAAATTATCAAGAACATTATCTGATTGTAAAAAAGTATACTACAAATGTTTGAGAATTACAATATTGGTAAGCTATTAAAATAAATTTTCAAAAGCTAATGAAGGAAGCCCCCATCAGTACTGGAAATAGCAATAACAATGAGCTTGAGAAACCGATTTTCTTGCAGAATTGTTTTAATAGAAAGTTTTTATAAATTTCACCAAAAGTAGCATAGGCAATTTAGTCAATGAATACCAAATGTTTCCTTAAAGAAACTGCTAATATTACAATTTTAATTTACTTTAAATATTGTATAATCAATAAAAGTTCAGGACTAAACCTATTAATATTTTTTCTCCTTAGCAATCTGTTTTTTTTTATTTTTTTTATTTTAAATAATAGGAAAGATGAGAAAAATTCATTAACCTGTTGGAATTGCAAATTATTACTTATTTTTTTAAATGTTTTTTTTTCTTTTTTTTTTCATAACTTTCTGGATGTGGTTATTTCAGATTAATAATGTGTGTAGGGATGTGGATAAAAATATATCCCTTGGTTTTACAACAAAATTTCATAGAGAAGTTGTTGAATGCTAAATTTTCTGAAAAGAATAATCTAATTGTCTTTTTCTTGCTTCTTCTGGAAATTAAAATTTGAAGTTAAATTTATTGATATTCTATAAATAGAAAAGGATAGTTTTAGTTTGCTTAATAATAGCAAAAAAATATTTAACTTTTTCTTAAACTTGTCTATACAATTACTGTAACGTTAAACTTTTAGTGCCCTACTTAACATTGTATGAATACCATTTGTAGTTAGAGCACGTGAAAGGTGAATAACTATTAAAGAAAAAAAAAAATTTTAGGCTTTTCTAAAATTTTCCATAGATTGGAATCCAAGGGAGATAATTAAGAAAAATGTAAATTTTTCATAAAGCTTAAATTAACATGTTTAATTTAATATTTTTTAGTTAAGAAAAGTTGACAAAAAAATTATAACTTTATTTTAGGATGAAATGAAAAATGGTATTCTCTAACACACATAACTATCATTATGGCATAAATACAATATTAAGATTGATTAATCAGAAACAGTGATTTTGAGAATAGAAATTGATTAAAAATTGTGAATTTAACAATTTTGTATTGAAGAATTACTCTATGAACCTGCGTCATATGACGAATTCAGCACTAATACACACACATTTTATATATATATAATATATATATATAATGTCTGTGTGTGTCTGTGCCTCTCTAACTTCTGGAAGGCTGTGGAAGGTTTGCTTTACCATATTCCTGTGGCGCCACTCTTTACCCTCACATTTCACTTTTCTTCTTTTTTTTTTTTTTTCCTTCATCAGTTCATAGTTAGTCAAAAGCAGCAACACTTTTACTGTGCATTCTGATGTTTGTTTTTGCATGAAATCTGTCTTCTCTGATGATTCTTTTGATTCTACTAGGAATTTTCTTTTACAGAAAAAAAGATTTTCTCCTAAGAATACTTTTCATTCCACATTGGGCTGTGTCTATTCAAAAGACCTCTTTTTCACCACAGTCACTGCATTCACACTATTATCACATCATATCTTTCACTAGAATAAATTTATTATGGCTTTAGTATTTTTTTAGCAAGAAAATGTCAATCATTATTTATTCTGTTAAATAAAGCCAAACTATAGCTCAATTCAGAACATAGATAAATTGTCTCAATTTTTTTTCTTTTAATTGAACTTCTTAGTATGAATTTTTGTTTCTTAAATGTAGACTAGCATTCTCATCTTTTATCTTTTCTTACAGTTACATTTTAAAATTCTCTTGCCTTTTTGCAGTTAAAATCTGTTGCATATGTTGTCTTGCAAGATTTGACATTTTTAGTATTTTGTTTACATTATTTGTAAACTTGTTAGTAAATTTATTGCCTGATGATGATAAAAAAATTCTACAACAAATATTGTCAATCCACTTAATCCAATGCATTGCTATAAATTCTGCATTAGGCCATGAGAATTTCAGGTTAAAATTTAACTAATACAGGAGTGGATCAGTAAGTTTATAAATTTATTGATCCACTCTTGTATTTGTAAATAAAAAAATGATTTTTATATGTGTTGTGTTAAATATGTACCAGAAGAAGTAAAAAAAACTAGTATTCTAGATTTCAAATATCAAAAAAACCTTAGGTATGCAGAAGGTAACAATAACATTCTTGTTTACCAATATTTTTTTATCTTTTGTAAGTCATGAGAATTGAGATGACTGTCAATAGTTGAAAACATCCATTTTCTCCTATATTTATCATTTTGAGAATAAGTTTTATATTTGACAAGTTATAAGATGACAGTATATGAGAATATATTTTTCTATCTTATAAGAAAAAAAATTTTTTTTATACTTTGTATGGTACATGACTCCTTGATTTATAAAAATATGTAATTGAAAATATATTTTTATTTCTTCACAAAGCAATGCAGAATTTTATTTCCTAACATCTTTAAGCCAATATCAAGCTGTGGTACATGTTCTTGTTACTTTAATGACAATTGTAATTTCTGTCTGAATTTTCTGGGATAACGAGTTATCATTATTTACACTATTTACATTCATATTGTCTTCATTATTGTTGCTGCTATCATGTTTCAGCTGTTGTTCCCTCTAGCCTTTATCAGGTGTATATTGATCTGGGTAATCTACAGAGCACTCTGAACCAAACCCTTCATTTAATCTACAGGGGTAGACTGTTCTCATTCCATTGCCCATGTCTTAAGAATTAGAAGAGATAACCTTAGAAATGGGCAGTTAAACAAAAACAGTCTACCCCTGAAATGATTAAATGAAGGTAACTCAGATCAATATACACTGATAAAGGCTGTAGGACACAATGGCCGAAACATAACGGCGACAAAGATGAGGACACTAGTCTGAATATAAATAGTGTAAATGACAATTGTAATGTTAGACAATTTTCAAAATAAATCTCTTAATAAATACACAAGAAATGTTTTTAACTAATTCCAAAAGTAAAAGGAAAATAATATAATGCTGAAGTCCAAGGGAGATAATTAAATAAGGTAAGATTACAGCCACATGAAAAATATAAAGAAAATCAAATAAAAATTAGTCCAATGTTGTCTTAATTGCTTTTGTTATTTTAGATGAAGAGGAATTTTATTTAAATAAAATCTGTTGAAATGCATGTGAAGATGACTTTAGTTTTTTATGTTGCAAGTATGACCCTAGTTTTTAACGTTATAACTTTATAATTGTTTGACAATGTTTAACTTTTGTACCTGGAGAAAAAAAATGGTGTATGAAAAAGGATATTTATTCCCATAATATCACTATTACTGTATACACTTTTAACACTCTCGGCAATGTATATTTACAAGATATTGTTTGTGATATTTATTTACCTTTTATAAAGGAATAAATTTGAAAAGAAATTTTTTTATTCAAAAATTGATTAAAAAAAAAAAAATTACAAAATTCTCAAAATATGTAAGAGGAATAGATTCTCTAAAACCAATTTTAGTGAATTTATGTGGCAAGAGCAAATGAAAGAAATGCCTGGGGAATTCATTTTTTTCAAAATTTATAATTACAGTTAACTGTCATTGTGTATTTAAATTTATTTGTTCATGGACATTTTTATTAATTTATGACTAAAAAAATTCTTTTTGTATTTATTTCCTCATAAAATGGTAAATAATGAATATTTCATTATAGTTTGTTCACATATTTTTATAATTTTGCAAATATAAAATTCTTGTAAATAAGTAATCTAATAAATAAATAGTGTTTAATATTTTTGATTTTCAAGAATAATGGAAATGTATAAGTTCACTTTCATATTTTGAGGTTTTATTAAAATTCTAGTCATTGCTTTTTAAAACAATAAGTATGGCAAAGTGTGTTAAAAGTGTATACAGTAATAGTGGTGTCAAGGGAATAACTGTTCTTTTGATACATCATTTTATTTGTGGGTATGAAGGTTAAACATTGCCGATTGTTTTATATAAAAGATGTGAATGCTAGTCAAAAACTTAAAATTGTTTGAACAGTAATTGTTTTTATCAAATAGCTAACATTTGATAGTAATGTTTTAAATTCTATTTGTGTGTGTCCATTCTGGGATATTGGTTTGGTAGGTGGGAAAGCAACAAAAAAAAATTGTTAGAAACAATAATTTTTTTTTTCCTCATAAAGTATTTTTTTTTTCTTGGCCTACATAGATTGTACTAATCATTTTTGGCTTTCTCTCTTTAAGCATGCACACCATCGGCTATCTGGAGGCAGCTGGATTGTAGGTGTTTTAATTTCTGATGCAGTTTTTTTTTTTTTTTTTTTTTTAATTTTCTGGTGTTTGTTGTTGTTGCTGTTGGTTGGTTAGTCTTTTTGATTGTTGTTTGTATATTTAAAACCCTTTATCCTCATGTATTTTTTGCATGATCTGCATGTTTTGAGTAATACCAGTTTCTGCCTCCTCTTCCTCCTTCATATGCACTGGTCTCCACAAAAAAACAAACAAACAAAAAAAAAAAAAAAGCAAAAAAAATATGTACCCAGGACAAAACAGCATAGTTACAAGGTGCAGTCACTTTCAGTTTTAGTGGTGCTCTGGGAATGTAGATTTCTTTTCTACCTTTTGTGTGTGTGTGTGTGTGTATACTTTCATGAAAATGATTTCCTTTATTAACATAGATTGATTTTTCATTGTGTTTAAATGCAATGAAAAACATACCAAAAGCATTTTTTAAGTCTTTGAAAGAAGTGAAAAAATTTTTTTTAGGTGAAAAGAAAAATTAGTTGGTGATTGTCCTTTTTGCCTAAGTGTGTTTAGATGTCTTTGTAAAAATTACTGATTACTGTCTTTTGCTTCATTCATATTTGTGTGCTTCTTGCTGTGGTTCATGTTTTCTTTTCACTTTAACATCTTTTCTTTTAAAAAAGATTTGTATGTAAATCTTCATTAGTATTTGCTGTGTTTAAAAATTTCTTTTATGATTCCCTGTATTCTCTCTACAATTTGACTCTTTTTTTTTTTTTTTTTTTTTTTGTTGCTTTATTTTTAAATTAATACTTTATCAATTCTTAAACAGAAAGGACATTCACACTTGGAATCAGAAAGTGACAGTTGAAATTTCTTGAGCACATAATGAGGAAAGAGGGTTTAGAAAATTTGACACTCACAAGACATATAGAAGGCAAGTGGAACAGAAAAAAATAGTGTTTAACTTACCTAATGAGCTTGTGTAAATAGTTGGCAGAACAAGAATTTGGAGAGATAGCAAAAGGGCCAACTTTAATAAGAGCTAAAAAGGACAAAAGGTTGTGAAAGAACATGGCACAGAGTAGTAGTAATTCTTATCTTTTATCTAGAGAACAAAAATTCCAGGAATGCAATAACGGTTAACTAAATATATTTATAGTATTTTTTGTTTTGTTTTTTATTTTTTTATTTTTTTTTACAATCTCCAAGATTGTATCAGAAATGGCAACATAAAGAACAAAACCAGGCAATGTGAAAACTTACAATATCATAACAAAAAGATGCAAGCTAAAATAGTTTGAACATGCTTCAGGATCGACATGGTGCTAGGAGAAAAAAACAGAATGGACGATAATGTGGTTGTGTGATGTTCTGGGAGAGGTGGTTGCCAAGTCATTTGTGCTGCCTCTATGGTTGGCTACATGTAAAATTTTATTAAAAATGATATTTTTTTATATCTAGTATTTAGTTTTTTTTGTTTAAACTTAAATTTAGGAAGTTGGTTGATTTAACTTTCTGTTTAGTTTTAATGCATGATATATTATGGTACAAATGTATTTGTATATAATTTGCTAACTGAATGAGGGTATGTGGTTAGAATGTTAGCATTTTGACCATGAGAACCCAGGTACAAATCTCACCATGGTTGATTTGTCTGGGTAGTGACTTCTTGATAATATTGGCCTGGGGAGATGAACTCAGCGTAGTACCATTGGCAAGTACCTGAAAATCATGCCATCAGTTGACCCAAGCCTTGTAAGTAAAATTAGGTAGATGAAACTTTTTGGAAGCTGCTGATGGTTCTGCCAACGTGAAATTACAAGTCCTTGTATCCAAGGGTTAGAGTATATTAATCTTGTTCAAACTATTGATCATACCAGATTATGTGTTATCTCTCTCTCTCCCTCAGAAACTGTAACCATGATATGCTTAGCATAGTTGCAGTATAAACTACAGGTTGGCTCTGTGGGTGTTGAACAAACACAAATGTACCTGAGAAAATGTTTGCAATAATGGTTATCTAGCCACCCTAGTAGACAAGCATACTCAGATACAAGTGACTAGTCATACTCATTGTATTTAGTTACTGGCATGAACTTTGACTGCATCATAAGAGTTAATCTATAGCATATGAAAAGGATTTTACACTTAATGCAACTTGTTTGTGAATATGAAAAATTTTATCTATTTTGAAAAATGGAGAAAGTGTTTTAAGTAGGTATTTATTGGTTTCTGCCAGTACTTGTAAGTACTTTAAGGAATGTGTCAGACTAGTTCAATTTTGGTGTAAAGTCATGTTTCTATTACATTTTACAATGATCAAAATCACTTCTAACAGGTTGTAAAGTCTAGCATTCTGATCATAATACTATCATAATAATTCCTTGTTTTTTTAATTATAAAATCAATATATCAGGCTTCTGTAAGACCCCACCCAAAGTTATTTATTTAGATTATAATTTTAAAAAGCTGGATTTAATATCTAGCAAAAAGAAAACAAAATTCATAAAGCATTTATCTTAGTTTATATAAAACATTGAAATCTCAGATGTTAAAAAGAATGGGTAAAATAGAAAAGTAGATTGAACATTTTATTTAGACTTGATTGGCAACCAATCTGAGATTGACACAGCAAGAAATAGTTCAGTTGGGAAAAACATAAATCTGTTTCTTTTCCATCAGCTACAGATAAAATAGCAAAAAATAGGAGTAGAGTAGGGCTTGTAGGCCAATTCAATAAAAGCTGACTTGCTAAATGGCATGCAAGATGAAAGACTAAATGAATCCTGGATCCAAAACCATAAGTCTCTATTTTTATGTTCAAAATAATGGCTGTACAGGGTGCGATGGATAAATTGACGTCTAAATTATGCAAAAATAAAAATAACATTGATATCTCATTTTAATAGATATATTTACCAAAATTACACAAAAATTTCTTCAAATACTAAAGAGTAAATTCATTCAATAAAATCACTATTGGCATCAACCACAGCCTCCAGATGACTTTGGAATCTTCTGCAATTCTTCTGGATGGTCTTCTTGTTTCAGTTGGTGAATGCTGCCATAATCCTTGCCTTCAGTTCATCTTTGGTGTTACAAGGAGTTTTGTTGGTTACTCATTCAACTGCACCCTACATATAATAATCAAGGTGGGGTTGCAGTTGGGTGAAGTAGGTGGCCAGATGTAAGGGGTGATGTAGTTGCAGAAATTGTCTGATATATCTGGGTTCTCCTGCTTGCATGACATGGTGCAGAGTCGTGTTGCCAGACATAGTCTTCCAGCTGCCACCCTCTTGACCTAGGGTAGCACTTGATGTAGGTCTCTGTGTTAAGTTTTAGGCTCTGTAGGAAGAAGAATGGAGGCAAAATGTTGCCATCACTAGTGATCACTCCAAACACCCTCATAATCATCATTAGATTCCTCTAACTCTTTCCGAATCCTTTGCACTGTCCTCAGATTGGCACCCAAAAACTCTGAAATGTTTATATTGGAGCTTTCGACATGAATGCCAAGCAGTACAGCATGCTGTTTCCAAATTTCTGGTGGAGTGAATTGCTTCATGGCATTCTTTTTCTCACAGTCGGTGTCCAACTGAACCTACTATATTGTACAGTTGACAGAATCAAAAACAAACAATGCACAAGCACAAAATTAAACTATAAAATGGAGACAGTTTATACATTGCATCCTGTACATGTAACAGAGTTGTTATTGACAAAGAAACTTGGATCAGCATGCAGAATTCAAATTTCAGCCAAGGTCATTTTGTTCATTATTTTGTACAAATACACTTGGGAAAGATATGAATCCATTTCTTTTCTCTCTCAACTATAGTTTAAATAAGGCAGACTGGACTCCCTACTCTTGGCTTGCAATCAGTCTTGGAGAAGGACGATGCTGAATTTGAAACTGGTTGGACATGTGGCTATCAATAAAAAACCTACTTGCTATGGAAAACATGGCCACAACACTAGTGTGGTGAGGCTGTGTTTGATGTCATTATATCCAAGGGTTAGAGTATACTAACCTTATTCAGATGGCATGGTGGAGTAATGGATAGTGGCTCGGATTGAGGAAAGGAGGCTTGGAAAATGTGACACTCACAGGACATATTGAAGACGGGAGGTACAGAAGAAAACTGTGCATAACCTACCTAAGAAGCTTGTGTAAATGGATGAAAGAACAGGGTTTTAGAAGGATAACAAAAAGACAATTTAATGAGTTACAAAGAACAGGAAATTGTGGAAAGCCATCATCACCAATGTCCTTGAAGTGACATGGTACATAGGTTTCAAGAATTAACCTTCAAAATGTTGGTGCATTTTAGAGGAACAGTCAAATTTAGTGTTTATTTATTAAGCGTAGCTTTGTTTGGTATAAGGCCATTTGTTTGTATCACCCAATATGAATCACTCACTACATTGGCATAATGATTCAGAAGACTGTTTTGGTAACTGTTTACACCAAGACAAGTGGTCAAGAATTATTAACCATGCTCAAGCATCGAATGAGAATCAAACTAACTAGAGTCTGTGTGTCTGTGTCTCTCTCTCTCTCATTTTTCTTGCAATGCTATGTCTCTTCAGAATGTTCACAGATTCCTTTATTATTGTAAATTATTGCCATGCATTCTTGGGAAAGATGGTGAAGTAGTTTTTGTTGCCTTGTCCACAATGTGGAATTCAGTTTGCTTTCTTTAACTGGTTGCCACCTATGGTTAGAGAGCTTAATCTACCCTGCTTTTCAATCCATAGCTGGTAAGAGAAGAGATGGTTTCATACCTTTCCTAAGGATGTTTGTGTGAGAGTGAATGTAACAGCCGAGCTTGGAATTTGAACTCGGCTTGCTAATTCTATTTTTTATCAGTGATAGCCATTACACTAGGAAAATGATTGACAGACTATCTTGGTAATTTTATTTATTAACTTTAGCTTAGTTTTATGCAAGGCCATAAGTTTAGGGTAGCCTGAGAATTGGTCACAATTCCTGATATTATTAAACTTTATGCCAAAACAAGACACAGATTCAG